GATAAGAAGGTCAGTAGAATTATTTGATTCTTTTTTCTCTTTTACCAAAGTTCTCCTTTCAGGAACTCATAGTACAGAATCAAGCTAATAAATACGTAGTTTATTTTGATGTTCTTTTTATTTTCATTTCTATATTTTGGTGTGAGTTCAACAAGATTTGTAACCTTTTTGATGGATATTCTTAGAAATTGCAGCCTCTTAGTTGACTTCATGTTGTATTAGTTTTCCTAATGCTAGTATCTTGGTGACCAGAAGGACTTTTATTTAACCTAGAGCTGGGCTAGGCCAGGAAAGGTGAGCAGAGGGCAGGGTGAAAGGTGAACAGGAGACAAGATCTCCTTCTTAGCTACACCCCTATAGGGAATCTTTACATCACCTGGGCCCTTCCTTTCTCCTTACAAGATTATGAACTTGGGCCTTCAAATAAGCTTAGGCCATCACCGGATTTAGAACTGGTGACTTTATGCTTGTTAGATCTTGTGTAGGAATGACTATCCCTGAACATCCTGTGAGACCATTCCCTATATGATTAAACTGTATTTTCATATTGGGAATGAGATGATGTCCCTCAGATAACCTTTTCATGGTTCTAGGACAGCAATGCAGATCATAGGCCCTGTCTAGGACAGGCAGGTTGCCTATGAACTGATCTCTAGTGTCCTGCTGTGTGGCTCTGTCCCTTAACCAGCCATTACTCTCCATAGTAGTGCCTCATAAGACTTGGTCAAGACACAAAGACATTTGCCTCTTATTGTTGTCTTATTCATCAAAACTGATACAGGGATCAGCAGATGGTATAATGGTTTTATTGCTGGACTTCCATATAGTCATTGTGGTTCGAGTCCTGGACCTGGTAGCTTAAAATTTACACTGGGCTTGTGTGGATGCATGCCCATAATCTCAAGAGGAGAATGGAGGAGAAGGGATTGTGGTGTGGCCATCTCCCCAGGGGGATGATTTCTTGCTTTCTGTCTCTCTGGCAAGCACACATGCCCTGTAGCAAAAATTTCTGTAAAACAACAATAACAAAACTGATAAATTATTTGTCTCATCCACCTTTTGCAAAGTAGATTATACTGGGTGAAACTTACGCAGATGGAGACAGCTAAACTTCACACTAGCTAGCTAATGTACTTTACTTAGGTATCTTAATCCATTCAGGCTGATATAACAAAATACCTTAAACTGGATAACTTATAAATAATAGGGATTTATTGCTCACTGTCTGGAAGCTGGAAGTCTAAGACCAAAGCACCAGTAAATTTGATATCTGGTAAAGGTTCATTCACTTGTTCATAGGTTGCATGTTTTCTGCTTCTTCACTTGAGAAACAAGGGGCCAACGAGTTCTCTGTAATTTTTCTTATAAGGTCACAAATGCTCAGCCCTCGTGACTTAATCATCTCCCCAAGGTTCCAACTCTTTTTGAAAAACGTTTGTGTGTGTGTGAGGGGGGAGTTGGCGGGGCGCTAGAGGCCATGTGTGTGCAAAAAAGAGAAAGAGAGGGAGGAGAGAAAGTACTCCTTATAGGGCATGATCACACCTCAACCCCTTCTCCTCCATCTCTCTCTCTCTCCTGCTGGGATTTTGGGAGCAGACACATGCACCCTACATGTTTTTCAAGCAGCTGAGTTCAGGACTCAAACTGTGTAGTCAGCCATGCGGGATCTGGTTGTCTTAGCCACCAAGCTATTCATATTATCACATTGAGGATTAGGTTTCAATATATGAATTTTGGGGAGAACAGACACATTCTGACCACGGTACCAGGTTACATAAAGTGATTGTGATGTTGTCCTTTAAACACGTAGGATTTATAATATTGTAGGGTTTCATTAATTAGAAAACCTACATGAACGTCACAAAAAAATCTTGGGAAATACAGAAGAGCACAGAGGAGTAATTAAAACCATATATAATTTCAGAACTTAAAGGAAACAACAACCAAAACATCAGTGTGAACAAGTCAAGTCTCATTTCAGAATGCGTGTGTGATGGTGGTGCACCTTCTCTTCTCTTTGCCTGCTTCTCTATAAAGGAGTGTGGATGCGTCCCCTGCCCTCAGAAAGCCTTCCTAACTCTGACTTAGGCAGCAGCCAGTCGCTCATTATTTTGTATTTTAATTACTTTTGAACTTCTGTAAAAAAACAGTGTGGTGATGAAAATATTTACAGCCAAGAGCTGCACACTTCTTTGCATTTATCCTTAGAAGAAATGTATATAGGTGAAGACAAATGCTTTTTTTTTTTTTTTGAGAGGTTTTTGCTATAGGACATGTGCACTTGCCAGAAAGACAGAGAGAGACAGAGAGACTGAAAGAATTCACCCCCTTCCCCAAGGAGGGATGGCCATGCCGCAATCCTTCCTCCTCCATTCTCCTCTTGGGATCTTGGCACGCACACACACCCGGCATGAGTTTAAGCCAGCTGGTCTAGGACTTGCACTGTGGTTGACTACATGGAAGTCCAACAACGTAGCCATTACATCAACTGCTGGTCCTCCAAGACAAATGCTCACTTGAAAAACTTTTAGTACAGGTTGCTAAACTCTTGTCCAGAAAGTCTATCAATTTACTCACCTACTAGTAAATTTTGAGAGTTCCTACCATTCTTACCCACTTAAAAATTATTTTTAAAAAATTTCTCTAACTTGGTGGGGGAAAAAAGTCATCATTTTCATTTATATTTCCTTAACAGTGAAGTACATTATGAATATATTTTATACATTTACTAAAGACAGATTACTGTAGCTGTTAAAAGGAGCTATTCTGAAGCCTGATGGTTCATTTACTGGCAACTTGGTCTTCCTACACTCATATCAACACTGATAATGACCCTATCTACAGCCATTATCTGAATAGTACAGTCTGTATAAACTCTGAAGACAGTATCACACAGAACAGGTCTGTACTGTATGAGGCATACAGAAAGCACCTGATCCACATTAGCTTCTCCTGTGTTCTCTATCATTTATATTTCTTATATGACTTTTCATTATCTTTGGGTGAATGATTTTTTTTTTTTTTTGGTAGCTTAAAAAACACACAGTAAGTATCTTAACCTGTTAACTACCACATAGTGGAGTTTCCCCTCTGTTTTTGACTTGTCTTTACATTTTGATCAAAGGCAGGAAATATTAAAACATCAAGAAATTCAGAGAAAGGTATAGTTTTGAACCAGGCTGAGTCTTCTGTCTTCCTCTCCATTCCTTCCCATCATACTGCCAGTAGAGTCACCTTGTCATCGTGCTTTTAGTCACCAGAGAGCAGAAATGACATTTTAAGCAAGATAAAGTCTTATATTTAAAAAAATCACCATAATGGAATCAAACTTCTGCTTAATTTATGTAAATAATGGTCACGGAGAATGAGAGGCCAGGGTTAATATTTCAATATTTTCCATTTATTACTAAATCCAGCATGTCAGCATTCCATTAGTGGTGCTATAAAATTAATTACTTAAATTTGAAAGAAGCTTTTGATTTGAGATCAAGATTCCTGATAGATTGCGTAGCCATTAAATGTTACTAGTTTTCCCCTCTTTCCTGTAAATTATATGGTAGAGAGGTAATCTAGCTACAAACTCCTACTAAAAAGGAGACAATGTTTCCTATTTCAGCGTATATTCATGCTACTGAAAATGAAAGTTTTTCACTTCACTGGAAAGAATATAGAAACTCTTTTCACTTCACTGGAAAGAAACATGGAAATTCTGTTTGAGCTGCCAATTTGTTTCAAAAAACTATTAAGAGTGGGCAAATATTGTTGCTGTGCTATGGATAAACAGGAGTGTTATATCATTGCTACTGGGTTGTATATGATTGGAAATTGCCATATAAAAGATTTTTAAGAAATAATTTTTCTTAGTGATGCTTACTATTAAGGGATATTGGGGAGAGGAGTAAGGACATTTCAATATCCACATTTTCTTCTTTCTTACTAGCTTTCTCTTTGTTGTTGTTTTGGTTCTACAACTTTTTTTTGGAGAGGTTTTCACTATAGGGTGCGTGCACTTGCCAGACAGAGAGAGACAGAGAGACAGAAAGCAAGAAATCCCCCCCCAGGGGAGATGGCCACACCACAATCCCTTCTCCTCCATTCTCCTCTCGGGATCTTGGGCACGCACGCACACATACCCGGTGTGAGTTGAAGCCATCGGGTCCAGACTCAAACTGCAGTCAGCTACATGGGAGTCCAGCGACATAGCTATTATATCAGCTGCTAGTTCCTCTACAATGTTTTAAGAGGAAAAAGTTTAAATCATAATTTATGTGGTAACTATCCTTTTATTTTAAGGATTTTTGCCATAGGGTGCTGCACTCACCAGAGGGACAGAGACAGAAAGTGAGAAATCACCCCCCAGGGGGAATGGCCATGCCTCAATCCCTTCTCCTCCATTCTCCTCTCAGGATTTTGGGCACGCACATACATGCATCTGGTGTGAGTTTTAAGCCTCAGGGTCCGGGACTTGACCACAGTCGACTACTCGGGAATAGTGCTGTCAGTCACCCTTGTGCCATCTGTTGGTCCCTGTGGTAGTTATTTTAAGAGTTACTACACTGCAATGGAGGGATGCTCCTCGTGCTCAGCTGTACACAAAATAGGCAACACCTAGTGCCCATCTCCAGAGTCGTGTACATTTACCATCCTTATTCAAAAACTTTTTTGTGTACGTCTTTTCTTATTCCCTTTTCTGCGTCTGTTTTGATTTGTGAGGACTGGAAAACATAAAGCAGGAAAAAGACCCAATGCAATCTAAAATTTCGAATTGTTCATTGAGCTCTGGGGGCCTGTGCTGTGGAACTGCAGGTGCCTGTACGTTAGGAAATACAACCGCGTTCATCCCTTTCGGTGATCTTGACTTGTAAGCACAATGCCATAGAACACAGAGCCACTTCAGGGTACTTAGCACCACATCCGGGAATTCAGAACTGGGAGTGCCGAGCACAAGGCGTCTTTATTTTAAACTTTGAGGAATTGAACTTCTGTCTCTCTACTTGCAGGCAAAATGAAGGACCGGCTAGCGGAACTCCTGGAGCTGTCCAAGCACTATGACCAGCAGTTCCCCGACGGGGACGATACCTTGGACTCACCCCACGAGGACATCGTGTTCGAGACAGACCACATCCTGGAGTCCTTGTACCGAGACATCCAGGACATTCAGGATGAGAACCAGCTGCTCATGGTCGACGTGAAGCGGCTGGGCAAGCAGAATGTCCGCTTCCTCACGTCCATGAGGCGCCTCAGCAGCATCAAGCGCGACACCAACTCCATCGCCAAGGCCATCAAGGCCCGCGGCGAGGGCATCCACCGCAAGCTGCGCGCGCTGAAGGAGCTGAGCGAGGCGGCCGAGGCCCAGCACGGCGAGAACTCGGCCGTGGCGCGCATCGCGCAGGCGCAGTACCGCGCGCTCACCCGCGCCTTCCAGAGCGCCATGCACGAGTACAACCAGGCCGAGATGAAGCAGCGCGACAACTGCAAGATCCGCATCCAGCGCCAGCTGGAGATCATGGGCAAGGACGTCTCGGGCGACCAGATCGAGGACATGTTCGAGCAGGGCAAGTGGGACGTGTTCTCCGAGAACCTGCTGGCTGACGTGAAGGGTGCGCGGGCGGCGCTCAACGAGATCGAGAGTCGACACCGCGAGCTGCTGCGCCTGGAGGGCCGCATCCGTGACGTGCACGAGCTCTTCCTGCAGATGGCGTTGCTGGTGGAGCAGCAGGCGGACACCCTGAACGTCATCGAGCTCAACGTGCAGAAGACCATCGACTACACCGGCCAGGCCAAGGCGCAGGTGCGCAAGGCCGTGGAGTATAAGAAGAAGAACCCCTGCCGGACCATCTGCTGCTGCTGCTGTCCGTGCCTCAGTTAGCCAGCTGGCCAGAGTCCACCGCGCATCCAGTAGGAACCGTCCTGCCACTGGCCAGGTCCTCTGCACAACAGCGAGCTGGCCCTGCCCCTCATGGAAGCAACTCAGTCTTTAGAGAAAGAAGAAACCCGAAGTTCAAGAACTCCAACTCAGCTCGTGCTTGGGAAGATGGTTGATACCGTCTGATGGTTTTTCAGTAAAGACAGATTTCTTCTGAAACGGTATGAGGTCCTTATGTGATGACAGCCGTTCCCCCCTCTG